TCGGCAATTAAGTGAACGATTATAATTTTTAAAAAACCAAACACAAACAGATCTTGCAGTGAGTTATTCTTACTTGGTTATTTTGACAAAGGTACCCTTAGCTGTCGTTGACTTTTGCTGTAGAACCTTCAGGAAAGAGATAACTGCTTCACCTTTGACAGGTGACTTGGGAGGGATTTAAAAAATGGTGCCTCTCTTCAGAATGATGGTAGAAATAAAGTTCAGTAGATCTCAATCAACTCTTTTGAGGTCATTAACCTCATTGTGGTTTTTAATTAATTAAATATGTATTTACGGGAGGAATTTCTGAGAGGTCAAGGGCGTTGAATTGTTACTGAGGTTGCTGAAGGAACAGCAGCTGTCGCAACTATTGGTATAGTATTTATCAAGAGGGTGATTGTACCAGGGTGACCTCAAGCAGTTAAATAGTTCAGAGTTTTCTATCAGCAAGACTTGGAAAGTTTGGCCCATGAAGATTGCATCCTGCTTTGTGTGAGTGCAGGGGGCTGCCAATTGTGTTGCCTGAAAAGGCTTTGCAAATTAGAGCGTTAAAAGCGGTCTTAAGTGGGTGGAGCTCAGTATAGTTACCTGATGGTCCTCAGAATAACTTTTGCCTTGTGTCACAGTGTGATAGCAACAGGCTTCTGTTTCATGGGTCAAAGAAATTAAATCTGTCCATTTGAACCAGTCAATAAAGCCTTTGCGTGCACCTGCTCTAGTGGGTAACCAGTCCTGAACAACTCTGAAACAAGACGTGGAGGTCCTACCTTTCTGAGAGTAAGGCTGGTTGTATCATAGCAACTGAAGGTGACATGAGGGTTAATGCCTGTGGACTGATGGCTTTCTTATCTCCTGTATTTTATCAATGTACCACCACATATTGATACCTGGAAAAGTTGTGGCTATGAGGCATTTATTGGATGGTGGGGTGAGGTGACAAGTCAGGGACCTCCTAATCCCAGGTGGTCATCTACATAACTAAAGGAAAAACAGTGCATGTCTGTGTCTCTTGCACCTGAAGGCAATCTTGTGGTCCAAAATTGTTGTGATAATTAAATTAAATGGAAGCCCAGGACTAATAAACAGAGCTGCATACCTGCTTTCCCCACAAGTTTCTGGTGTTTGTGTGGCTCCCTCCCTCCACACCATGTGGTATATATGAACCATCTGTGGTAGTAGTTGGTAGTTTGATGTCTGAAATTGTTCATGGCTGACATGGAATGCAGAAACAGCAATCATCATGGCTGTAAGCTTTATCCTCCTACATTGTTTGTTTCTGAATCTCTAACTCCGCAGCAGGAACTGGGTCAATCTCATGTTTAGCATTAATTCCTTGAGGGGAAGGGAAAAGAAGTCTGAAAAGAGCTTTCTTCGCTTCTAATCCCAACCTTGTTAGTTACTACCCAGCCTAGGCTGGAGCTGGAATATTATCATATCCAAAAAGCAGCTGAAGTCTAAAGTAAGGTACTGGGAATAATACAGTGTTGTGGTTCAACAGTGTTTTGATACCTTAAAGGAAGAGTCTCCTCGAGTTAGAAGCCTGTATTTCTTGTCAACAGAGAAGAATTTTTGGTTGTTAATTTGGGAGTAAGGACACTTGGCTGAGGAGAACACAATAGTAAGTTTTGTTAGCTGGGATCATCAGCTTAGAGTGGCAGGACCGATGTGATGAAAGTCAGCTATTTTCAGACAGCTCTTTGCTCTTAATGCATCTGTACAATAGGAAGTCCTAAAAGCCATCTGTGCTCATTTGATGTACAGTTTTTCTAGAAAGTGTCCACATTGTGGGTTGGACTAGATGACCTTTAAAGGTCCCTTCCAACCCAAACCATTCTATGTTGTAACCAGCCAACTGTATGAGGCCTGTGCAGTTCGAATGTCTTTGTACAGGCAGATGGGTCTTTGGAGTTATGCTCATTTTGAGCAGAGTAGAAGCACCAAGAAGTTCAGTAATGTCTGAATTACTTGAAACTTTTGGATGTGGCTCTATATTGTGTTTTATGGTCATGTCCCCTAGCTGATAGTGATACTGTGTGTTATGTTGCATGACCTGACAAAAATCCAGTGTTTTGTCAATACTGGATTTTGCTAAATCTTTGGGAAGAATAGTGCATTCATACAGTTATGACCTCCAAAAAGGAGTTGTGTTTAATTTCAGGGAAGGTTTATGGTTAAAAAAAAAAATCTAGTAATTGAAAGCACAAACTACATATATAGCAATACAAAATATTTCAGGCAGCCAATTTTACTCTGTATTACTTATAACAACAGTATAGCAATAATAGTATAAATGTGCTGATGATTTTTTTTTTCACCAGAGCATTGAGTTCCTGTTAAAATTGCCATTATGCCATCTTTTTTTGTACTACTAAAAGACTTTCAATTCAAGGGTCATTTATTCATTTATTTATAGATAATAAAGCTATAGTATTTAAATTTATCTGTAATAATAGTTGTTGCAGAGAGAGCTCTTGAATGAGATATATTACAATAATTTTGAAATCTTGATGCAACTGGTGTTATTTGTCGTCTGGTCTTGGGGGTCTTTTCATGGCACTCTTGTCAGTTGTATCTGTTTTAAGCATGGGGTGGAAATTCACACTGTGAAAGTAACTTAAATTATTCTATGAACAGAACTTGGCCTTTTATGCTTGTTTTTGAAGTGAATGTCGTGAAAAGATAGAAAAAAATAAAATATTTGTAATGACTATCAGTAGATTCGTGGCTCAAGCAAGATTTGTATCCTGGAATTAACACTTCGGTAATTAAGTTCAATCTTTAGGTTTAATGCACTCCCAAGAAAATGACGAAATCCTTGTAGCTTCTTTGTTCAGAGATGTAATAGTGATGCTAGCATTGATGCTTGTTTAAAATTAATCTTTTTGGAAATTGCCTTTCAATCTAAGGTCTCATTGGATCTTGTACAAAAAGAAAATCCCTCAGCTATTGTACAAAAGCAATCCTGCTTGTATCTGAGTATATGTATGGATTTTTGCATTGTTGCATAAAGTTGCTGACTGATAGGTTGGTATGTAGCAACAGCACATTCTTCAATGGCTCCTTCAGCTATAGTTGTAACTAGAACTACACATGGCAAGAGACTGTCTGGAGTTGAAGGAATCATGAAGTCATAGCAAAAAGGTTGCGCAAAAAGAAAGTACCAAGACTAACTGGTATTCATTAAGAGCTCTGAAGACATTTAAAAGTAAAATAGCTGGATTTCTGACACTAGTATGCAATTTGTCAGTTCTATAGTACTAGAAGGTGTAACTATGATACCAAAACATAATTTCTCTGGGTACCTTGAGAACAAGAAGCAGGTTAATATGTTGTCTCTAACAGACAAATTAATAGAAATTGCAGTAAAATAAATTTTCTGTAATTTAAGTCTTGCTTTATAGATTTCTTGTAATTTTTTTGTAAAAGTCAGCAAACCTGATTAAGTTAGTGATTTATTGGGCATGGATGAATAACTGGCCAAAGCCAGGAGGCAGACAGTTGGAAAACTTATGCTAGTGATATATTCAGGGTAGTAAAGAAGAGGGCTAATTAGGAGAAAAAAATGTGGGAGAGGCCTTATGTGCTTTAGCAATTATGCAGTGAAATGTCAGATGATATTCAGTGTAGGTAAAAACAAAATGATGCATGTGGAAAAAGCAGTTCTATGTTGTCATACAAAATGAGAGGCTTTGAGCAGGCTGTTAGCACTGAGGAATAAGACCATGCAGTTCCATGATAACATCAACTTGTTGCTAGGCAGCAGATCAAAAAGCAAATGAAATACTAGGAATTATTAGAAAATGAATAGAGAACAAAACAGGACATAATTATGGCAACACATAAATTATATGGTTCACCCACAAGTTGACTATCATGTGCAGCTCTTCCCCTATCATCTCGAAATAGTTACATTAAAGCTGGAAAAGGTTTAGAAAAGAGCAGTTGGGGTGATGGAGTTGATTCTCTGTAAGACACAATTAAGGAGACTAGAGCTCTTCAAGAAGGAAATTCTAGGCATGAGTAAATCACTAGAAGTGCAGAGAGGGCAGACAGGGATGGAGAATAAGATTAATGAGGGACTGTCAATTGAACCTAGCATGAGCCCAGGTTCAGAGCAAACTAGAGGAAGCACTTCTTCATACAGTGGGTAGTAAAGACACTGCCAAAAGACCCTGAGGGTGCAAGAAGTTGATGGTGCCTGAGGCTGGATGCATACTTGGAAAAGAGATACACTGCCCACTGACATATAGACAGATCACTACACAACAAACCACAAGCAATTAAAAAGTAGAGAATAAAGTCAGAGGAAAGTATTGTTTATGCTTGATCTCTTTTTTGTTGTTGTTGTATGTAACTTGTGGTTACTCTTAGAGTTAGAATACAGGACTATACTGAAATGATAAGCTTACTTTAGTTTAGCTTTGTCCCAGTTCTACAAGGTGAAAGATAAAGTCTGTGATAGAAATTAATACTATGCTATTTCAGATAAATCCTAAAAACCATTATCCAATACATTAATCTTTAAATTCTCTGATTTTTCATTACAAGGATAAGCAAATTTTTGCAAATCTCTGATAGTCATGTGAATTTTCAGAAGTATCTTTTAATATGAAAACATAGCATCATAAACTTATAAAAATGTTCCATTCAAATGTCTCAAATTAAATAATATACACCTAAGCAAAAGCATGTCTTGGCTGTAGAGTTTTCTTCCCCTTGCAAGAAAGCTTATTTCTCAATAGAACTGAAGTGCTTCAAAATCCCCCCATCAGAAAAAAATTAGATTTCTCAGTTACACTAAAGGCACCTTTATTAAAATATGTATGTGAACTGTAAAACTGGTAGTTGGAGGAATTGTTCTTTGGATGACGCTTCTGAATTGTCAGTTTGATAACTGTGATTCTGTAGCACTAATATTCAAAAGACTTTTGTAAAAAGTGGTGGAAGGTGTTCTATAAAAGCAAAACTGTTCCTTATGAAAACTTTGTTTCCATATACAGATAGCCATTTGGAAGAATTTCCTACTCTCCTTCACTGTGCGGCCAGATTTGGGTTAAAGAACCTTGCAGCATTTCTACTTAATAGTCCTGAGGCCACACGGGCTTGCAAAATAACCAACAAATATGGAGATGATCCAGCAAGTATCGCTGAGAAGCACGGGCACAGGGAACTAAGAAAATTAATCAAAGAATTGTCAGTAAGTCCATATGCTTTTTCATATGTCACCAGGGGACTATGATGTTGTACTACAGAAATCCCGTAGTATCTCCTCTTGTAAAGCCTAATGTGTTGTAGTCCTTCTGTCTGAAAATAAGATTATGCTCCTTCTGTCTCAGAAAGAGGGGTCAAAATGGGGTGCAGCCACTTTCTTTGTGCACTGTCATAATGGAGATCAGAGTTTCTGCGCTGCTTGAATGTTAGACATGTGATGGAAGGAGAACAGTGAATCAGAAGTACCTTACTAGATGGCCTTAGTAGATTGGTGCTTTCAGTGCCCAAACAATGGTTATATTGCAAGAAGTCCAGCCCAACCCCCTAGAGTAGGAAATAAAGGCTACTTTAAAAGTGACTCTGAACTCTCTTAGCACTGCCACCAGCATTCAACAAAGAGAAGTTGCCCTGCCTTGGCTTTCCACTCCATTGTGAAGGAAGACTAAATTTTACCACCCTCTGTTAGATGGAGTAAATCTTTCTTCATTTGAGTATGCAGAAGGGGTTTTGGGCAACAGTTGCCTTTCCACATGAAAGACAACAACAGAATAAAGGTCTGTGCGTAGTTCTAGCATGCAGACTATTGCCAATAAACTCTAGCAGAATTGGCAGTTCAAAAAGCAATATAGTGTAGTAACATTTGAGAGAGTTAAGCTATTTTAAGTCTTTCTTGTGTTAACTATAATATGAGCAAAGATGATAATTCTTGTCCCAGAGATTTTAAAGCCTAGAGAGCAAATTAGGTAAATCATCTATCCAAGGAAAGACAGGATGCGAACGTTGGCATAAGTAAGCCTGTGTTGTGAAGACCTGGCACAGCTTTGATGATGGTGTGATAATTTTTGTGTGTGTATGTTAGACACCATGTTCATGGACAAATGGTAACAACAGACATGTAAGACAAGAAAATACAAGGAGTGAGAAAGCCAGAAGTTTCACTTTTCGGTTAACCAGTCATCTTGATGTAACCATGGGTAGACATGAGACCAAAGATGGTATTTGAAGAAATATAAGATAATAGCTGTGTAGATTATGTGGGGGAGGATGTTTTGCACTACTCGGGAGGGAAAATGCAAGAAATCTAAGGGTAGATAATGTAGAAAGAGGTATCCTAAAAAATGGAAACACTGGCTGACTGAGGTCAGTTATTGAAATTCTAGAGCATGGACATAGGGGTTGGTCAAGTTTTTTTCTCTGATACAGTTAGCATCTAATGTAAAAGTGAAGGAGAGGCACTGGGAAAACTGAATATAAGTTTACTGTGATCAGTGTTGAATCATGAAGATGCCTTTAGTAGTGTTTTATGAGTGGAATTTTTTTTTTCCATTTAGTTCAAGGGGAAGAAAATTGCAGACCCTAGAACCTGAAAGTAAGGCATTTTGGCAGTGGTCAAGATGCTAAATGAGAATATACTATTTAACTTTGTTGTTGAACAGCTGTTGATACAGGCTCTGAAAACACTGAGGGTGGGAGAGTATCTGTAAAGGAGGTATTTCTTCTTTTCTAATACAGGTAAAGAAAGCTCATACTTAATTAAGGGTATGATCTGGTGTCTTTTCTAAAGTGATGAAATATTGCCTTGCATTTACTGGACAATGAATGATCAGATCTCAAAAGCACTGCAGAGCTTGTTCTATTGAGAGGGCAAAGGAATGTTGTACTACAGAGGTGATGATTTTACCTCAGGTTTTGATACTGTAGGTGAGATCAAATTTAACTGAAGAGAATGCGATCCTCCTTACCATCTGGCATAAAGCTGTCCACAAAACGAGGATGTCTTTCTGAATCAAAATGTTAGTAATTTCACATTTAATATTTTCTAATTGCCCTAGTTGTCTCACAGTCATCTTTGCACTGGTCAGAGAGCTCCTGCCAGTAGCAGTCTGATGTATAAGGTCAGGCCCCTCAGCTCTTGGAGTTTACCACTTTGCCTTGAAGAGAATGGAACTGTGTTCCCCCACATCCCTACCTGTGAATCTGGCTAGATACCATCTCTGTATGGTCAGGTACCTCCAGTACATACTATGTGTAAAGGATTGATAAGACTAGGCAGAATGTGAATAAGGTGATATTTAACTCTCAGTGAGATAATTAGATTTCTTTTCTAAGATGGGCATATGAGTCGAGTTGAACATGGAAGCATAGTTTCCATGGTTAATTTATAATATTTAATGATAAAAGTTAATTCCGTAGCATAATTTTTATGCTATTGTTGTAGAAACTCACCTCCCTGTGCTTCAGATGTGTCTTTGTTTTGCACCTACATGGGATTAGAGGCTTCAGAAAATGGGTAATTTTCTTTTTATCCTTAGAAACACACTCATATTAAACCTCATGCTGTAGTTGGGGCCTGTGTAAGCACACACGATACAGGCAGACTACAGCTGGTATACATGGAGAGAGTACGTTATACTTCTATAGTCTATTTTGGTAGACTGTCAGCGATAGAGGGAAGTGTTTGTGAGGGTAATATATTTGACTCTAAAAAGCATGCAAAATATACCTCTGATTAGCTTTTATTTTTTACTAGGATTATTAATTGTTCTAATAAGGTCTCAGTATAAAATTATCAATCTAAACCATGGATTTATAATTGTAACTCTGATTTTATACAGTGTAATTTTTCATTAAAATGGTTCCTTCATGGTAAGTATCTGCTATTGTTTGCATGTAAACAGTAGTTGTTCTCTGTTCATGATGACTGCTCTCCTGAGTGTGAATACTTAGACTAGCACTGAAGTAAAAACAACTCCACTACCATCATAAGCATGCGTAGTCTGGTTAGGACATGCAGTTGTACTGCCCGTTTTCAGTTGATTCATATGGCGTGGCTTACTAATCTAAAACAAGTAAAAATTGGAGCATGCTTCAGGTCCACCAAATGTGTAATATGGTATTTTAGAAATGTGAGCTCCAGCTGCTAGAACATAAAAAGCTTATTTGTGTCCCCTGTAATAGTGCACTTAAGAACAAAAACTCTTACTGTACTTCTGTAATTGATGGGAACGTGGAAAAGAAATATTTCATGGCTCTAAGCCAGCAGATTTTAGTTTAACCACGTTCCAGGAATTTCCTGTTACAGCTGAAGTATTGAAATTGCTCATTATTACAATAGAAGTACTTTTGTACTTGGCATACCTCTTACCGTTTTAAAATTGCTACCTGTGTTTTGCCATTCTTTTAAGGAATAGCCCCAAAATATTCACAGTAATTCATCACTTCTATCTTAAAGAGCAATAGGTTTCCAGAAAAATGAGTGTACTAAAACACACATTCTATTTGTCCAAAATCCCATAAAGTGTCTTTCATTTCCCTTTGTGCTGGGGAATCCTTAGAGGAGTAAGAATTCCCTGAGATTATGAGAGAGAGAAACAGCAGCAAAAGAAAAAATGGCAACATCACAGCTACTGTTCTGACCCTTAAGCCCAGGGCTTTGCTGTGCAGCCTTCTCTGGTGGCTGGTGAGCAGATCTGTGCTCAGAGCTTTTTTTGTGATGCAGCTTTGCTGGTAAGGCCCTTCAGCTCCCATGTTGAGCAGACTTACTGGAAAGGTGCTCAAGGCTCTATTGGCAAAAGTGAGCTGTAGTAGCTGGCTAACTTGCACACCTGTATGGCACAAGTTCCCTGTTCTTGTTTAAAGGGAAAACCTCTTTTCTGGAACTGGACACCAACAATGTTGATGTGGGAGGGTGTGTCACAGCCACAGAAGGCAGATCTGGAGTGCCTGGTGGGCATGCTGGGAGCTGGTCCCCTGATCTGTGTCAAAAGAAGGTACAAGGGCATGATCACATAACATGTCGCGTGCTGTATGATAGAGCTGTATGAATGGAGGGGGAAGCAATTTTCCCCTTTTAGTACCAGTGTTATATACAAGGTTATTAAATGCTAAAATATCATACCCTTTAAGAACCTTTATAAATGTGTGCTCCCACAAGTGATAGTGTCTGCCTTCTCTGTCAGAATCCTGCATTTCAAACACTCCTTGAAAATGTCTGCTTTGTGCTGAGGGAACACTGCACAACTCGATCCATTTGTGTTAATGGTACTAAATGGATGGAGCTGTCCATAAAGGAGTATTTAATGGGGATTATGATAAAACTCAGCTTCAAATGTGCCAGCAGTTTATTAAGCAAATTGTATTTTTCTTGCATTTTAGCACAAAGCCACCTAAATTGGACATTTGTTTCCAATTTCTACATGTTTCATTATAGTTTAGATGAAGTAATTCCCTCTTCTGTAGTGTAAAAGAGGGATATCGCTTAACTTTCTGTGATACCATCCTGAATTGTTACTTTGTCTTGTGATTTTACTCCTCTATAGAACCAAGTACTTGAATATTTTCCGTAATTGCTTTTAGGTTGAATTGCTTGAATCAGATGTGTCAATTTAAAACTACTAAGAGACAGTAAGTAGGAAGAGTGGCAGGGGAGGTATCCTTGTCTCAGAGTATCCAAACAGAGGAAACAATGAGCCTTTTGAGTTTAGGTAATCCAGCTAATGGCTCAAAAGCCAGTAAGAAAGGCCAAAGTACTTCTGCTTTCCATTAGTCACAGGCTCAAAACATATCTGTGGTTGGTTGTTACGGTACCGTGATAGGTAGTACCTTGTTAAGCCAGAGTAGGTTGCTCGGATGTTGGGACTGCGTTTCAGACGTTTGTCTTTTGTGTATGCTCCGTCCCTGAAAGCTGCTTTGGCACTAGCTTGTTGTTCTTGTCACCAGCTGTGGTCTTCTGAGCCTAAATCCTTATCCAGCACACAAAGGAAGACTTTAAAAAATAGAGGAGAGAAAATTTCTAAGCATTAAGTGACTAATGAGGGGAGTATGTTCAATTTGTGACCTGACCATTTAAAATTGGAGGTCCCACTGATAGCCAGTTTAGGCATTTATGCTTTAGTATGGGCGTAATTCATTGTTCCAGCACTTTGGGTTGTTAATTTCTCCCTTCTTTTACCAAGAACTGTACTGGTGAATGTGTCATAGTCAGGAAGATTACTATGTACCACTTGTAGTCTACATCATAGTTTCTAAGAAACATGCAGTTCAGAAAGTGTTTTATTGGTTCTTTAATGCAAATAACTTCTGATTGTTGACTTTGGCCTTTAAAGCAGATTCCCAGGGGTGACATAAATGTTATTTAAATTTAAAAATTGAAACAGTCATTTCATGTTGCCACCACACAGTTGAGACGGCACAAATGCATTTTTCTTTTTAAAATACATTCTAACATTTCAGAATTGGTTGCCTGAAATCTAAGGCAGAAAATGCAGGTTAATTGTGGTTTTTTTAACCTACCCAAGATCTGTGGCCAGTCCTATGACAATCCATGGAAGAACATTGGACGGATGGAAGAATCTTCTTCCTCTGCCACCAGCTGAACTCTGTCTGTATTTCTTGTTTAATATAATTTTCTGTCTGCCTTCTTCAGACACCCCTTAGGCAGCTATTAAAAAACTAATAGGTATTTAATTCTGTACATACTGGTGGAGTTCCTTTAGAATTGCATAGGTTGAGGCAGTGCCCTGGACAAGTCTTTCACAAGAAGCCTGTTTTTTCCAGAAGGGAGGGTCACATCAGTTCCTTTCTAACTCTGTTGAGGTACATCCTGCAAAGGCTAGATCCATAGTTACTGAGTTCACTGCTGTTAGCAGTTCCCTCAGCAGCAGAGAGAAACATTATCATACAGGTGGTCATAATTGTCACTCAGAGCCTGTTTTATGGAAGACATATGTTTTAGATAAGTGCGGGGACTGAGGGTTTTTTGGTTCTGAAATGCCAAGCTATATTTTTATAAATCTTGGCAAACTTAAAGGATGGGCAGGGATGTAGGTTGGAAAGTAATTCATCAGTGTACACCTCTCCCCTCTCATCTCTATCTTACTTTGAATTTTGAAGTGAAAGGTTGAACCAGAATTTCTTAAAGTATCTTCAACTTGATGAAATGGAAAAGAATCTACAAAAACTGTATTGTGGAAATCGAGGGTACTTTTTCTTCAGTTGTTTTATGCAAAAAGAATCTTACCTGGCTTTGTAGCTTCTATCACCAAATGACAGTAAGTCTTTAGATGATGAATACCTTGGACAAGGATTCTCATGATACGCTAGGGAGTTCTAGAAGCTCATAAAGAATCAGCTTTTTGAATACAGAAGTATTATTCTTATATTTCTGTTTATGTTTCTATAAAAGACTATATGATATGACATAAATCCCCAGCATGAAACTATTACGTTTTTAAATATGGTTGCAATAACTTCCTGAGCTATTAATTTTCTGTTGTGGAAGGACCACGTGTAGAAAGATGAAGTGAATATACATTAAAGAATCTTAAATTAAATTAATCTGGCTGCTATCAGTATTTGTTTAATTACTTTAAATGCTACTGTAGTATTGCACTGGCCCATAGCGCATTACTTTCAAATAGCTGGAAGAGTATATGAAAAAGAGGATTAGTCTGGTTTCTGAAATTCGCGCTAATCCACTAGTGAATTGTCAGTGAAGCCTGCTGGGATTTTATTCTTGCCACAATATTTTAATGTTCAGAAATGTTAGTTATGTGCATCCTTTGGTACAATGGAAGTTACTTAACTGAAATGAGTAAGTGAACATATTCTTTGATGCTTTTTTAGTGACTGGATATTCACAAATCAAGTTCTTAAACTTCTTAAGGAACTGGAGCTAAGTCCTATGAGCTTCTACCAGCTGATATGCAAATGTTATCCTGTCCGTCAGATGTTTGTTCACTGGGTTCTCTTTCTTTTCCAGAATTGCTTATGGAGAGGCTTCCCGTTATCAGTGCTTGGTGTGTCTTATGTTACAGATTTGATTTGGGGAGTTTATTACTTTTATTTTACCTATCTGACAAGGTTTCCCTCTTCTTTTTCACACCTTCTCAGAGGAACATCCTCCCTGTAACAGTAACTTTCTGGTATATACTGCCTTTTGAGGTCAGACAATTTATGTTTTAGTGAGGAGATAAGGTACAGCCTGAGCATGGAAAAACTTGGCTTTAAGGAGAAAAGGCTAGATTCAGCCATTACACTATGCACAAGTTTCTATGTAGACTTTTATTCGGGCTAGAACCTTGCACCTTAACTGTGATTAAATCTTCTCTCATAACTGTGCAATTGAATACAAACTTCTTGCAAAAAGAACGATAAAAGGAGCTGCAGATTTGGAAACCTTACTTCTGTATGATATGCCTATTGAAATTTGTGTGTAATTTACAATGAACTAGGATAGTTTTTCCAAGGAATGGGCTGGTATTTTGTCTCATCTTTTGATATTCTGTAGCTATTTCAGTGATACACTGGGAGTCATTTATTTGCAATTCACCATTTCAGAAAGCCTTCACAAGTTTTAAGGGAAACTTGAAAGCTAATGGAATTTCAGGCAAAATGCTCGTGAATTAGAAGCTGGGAAAATGAAAGAGTTCTGTAATGATACCTCTGTTCTTAAATGTATTTAGGATTGTAAAGCCGGAGATTTCCAGAGGAACTTCCAGAGGTCCTTTCTGACTGTTTTGTTGCAGGACAAGATCAGCAAAGGTACTTAACTAAGGGACTTTTGGGGAAGATGGGGAGTGGAGAGTGTCCAGTTTTTCAGAAGTAGTGTTTAGGCTAAAAGAATTATCCATATCATTCACATGTGAAAAACATTTGGCTGAGCTGTTTATGTTCATAAAAAATGCAAATATACTTTTCAGAAGTGAGAGAAAATAAAAGTGACCATGTTATGTTGTTATGGAAATAAGTATGTTCAGGTAGATAAAGACTCTGTAGTAGCCTGAGGAGATGTTAGAAGGTGTGTGGTAAAGACATGTAGAATAACGACTGTTTTTGAAGTAATGAGCTGCTTTTCCTTAACCTCTCTTACGGTAAGTGAACAAACAAATTTGACGTGAAATACTATTCTGTATGAGATATAATTTGTCTGTTCAGCTAGTTAAGATACCACTGAATCTAGAGGCATAAGAAGCTTTCAACCCAATAGAGATTTTTGTGGATGTTGAGAACTTTTAATCACTATGTAGTGTTATTTTCATCATGAGGGCATGAATCCTCTAACCGAGTTACAAACTAGTTGCATGAGGTTAAGGAAGAAACTTTCCCGGGCAGAAGCTACCCCATAGTTGTCCATTAAATCAATTGCTCTTTGCACTTTTCCATCAACTATCCTGCACTGACTGTCCCAATAACTGTATTATTAGGTGAGAGCATTGCCTTTCATATTCCTCAGATACTGACATCTCACAAGCCCTGACAATGCAAAGGAAAAAGTGAAATTATCTAAAATTATGTTCTAGTTTCAGGTTTACTGTAGAAGGAAGGCTTGCTGGGGCATTCCAGTGGAAAGTCTAGAAGCAAGTTTTGGATCTTGCCTCTGTCAGTTGAAACGATTTGAATGTACAACTGTCAAAAAGCAGGTTTACCTTGGTATAGTATATGCTCATAGTGAGGCTATCTGGAGTATACCCTTTGGCTGCCTCCCAGTAATCTGGAAGGAATCAAACATCTGTCGTATCTTACAAGTTGTTCAGCACAAAGACAGGTATATCAACACCTTTTTCCAGCCCCTCAGAAGGCAAAAAACAGAAAGAAAGAAAAATGAAGAGCAAAACTGTAATAAGGGCTTTTCAGCTTCATAGGGGAAAGTGAAGGAAAATTAGGAGGGGAAAGGAGCTGTTATTGTGGTAAAGATAATCTGTGAGCTAAAACCACCTACATCTTGCGTGATATTGTAAGGTCTGGAGGGAGCTTTTTGATCTCAAAGCCCTAAGAAAAACTAGGTGGAGATGGAAGAATTAATGAGTAAATTTAGGTAAGAGGCTTGCAACATCCTTAGCAATCTGAAGGTTTGAGCTCTGTGCAGATCTAATAGTGACTTTCAGACTTCCCTACAGCTGTAATTTATTGCTTAATTAGAAGAATTGTCTCTAGGCTCTACATCAATAGAATGACCATTAGGGAAAGGCATTTGTCAAAGCTACCAAGCCCATTATATGAAACTGCTTAAGAAAATCCATATCTGCCTTGCATAGTGTTAGTTCTGTTTAACACAGCCATGCACAATCTCAATTTATAATTCTGTCTCAGGGCTCTGCACAGAAGGCACACTCTTTATTTTGTCTTCTGTTCTTCCCACCCCCATATATTGTTTTACAATAAATGATTCAGTATTTCATTGCCAGAACTCTAGGCTGTCTAGTAATAATAATTTCCTTTTCTTATGTTTGGTGCAAACTTAAAAATGGTTTCTGAGTTCCCATACTCTACCAAACTCAGAAGAACATGCAGCAATTAACATATATATGTTCAATTTCATGAAGAAAGCCAATATGGTAATAGATAGCTTTATAATACATGTTTAATAACCATCACAATCACTATAATTGAAATTGTATGCTGTGTCTGTAACAGACATGGGCAGCCTTCCTCAACCCCATGAGCTATGTGCCAGAATCTTAGTGTGGCTGGCAGCTGCAATATGCTTACATCAGAGGTTTGGGGATTGCTCTTAGGCAGAAGTTGTTAATGGTTACTCTTACTGTGAGTGTGAGACATTTAACTGGATCATAGCACTCACAGATGATGCCAGTCTTATGGGCCACATCGGCTTGGTTTTACTTGCTCCTGAGATTTCAGGTTATTTTGCTGCTACTGTATGGTCTTGGGGTGATCTGGGAGCCATTCTTGAAATATTAGAGAACTGCTTAAGACCTGCAGTTGGCCACTTGCGGCCTTCTGAATTCCAGCTGAATTAATCTGCTGTTAATAAATGCCACTTTCTGAAAATTACAAGTAGGCAGGGAAATCTCCTGACATATGGAAGACCCTAGCAAGTTCCCTTCAGACTACCTAGGAAAACACAGAAATCGGTATCTACTGGGCATGGAAGTAATATAAGAAGTGTGATTCCTAACTGGATTGTGTAATCAAACCTTCAAAGATCTGTTTTAATGAGATACATT